ACAACGGGGTCCCGTGATACGACTTCCAGAAGCCGGCACACAGTGGGTGTTGCCGAACCCGGCGGCCACAAACTTCATCAACCCAGCTGCCTCTTGAGGGGGGTGAAACTGCGAAGGCCCCCCTGCTTGAAGCTAGTGAGCCTTCACAGCTTCCGGGACTACTGTTGGGGGGATGGTCCCCGGTCAGGCAACGGAACCCAGATCCCTTTCGAAAACATTGGGGCTAGCAATGCCCCTCAATCCGGCTTGCCCCTGGCCGGCTTCCCAGTGCAACCCGGCCAAGTCCCGCAACCCAACCAAGACGGCCGGTGCAAGCTGGCCAACTCTACCAAGTCAAACCTTCATCGACAAACCAGCATGGCTACAGTGCGCCCCCCTTTACGCCGGCCTCGGCGGGCGCGGTTGCCGTGCCGACCAAGCCCCCGCCTAGGGCGGGTGGTGTCCCGGGGGCGCAACCCTGTAGCAAGACAGCGTGGTCGTCCCATGACGACCACCCAGCATGCCTACATCACTGAGCAGCCGGCCGTACCCGTGCCCGGTGGGCCCGGTACGGCCCGTACCCGACGGACCCGGCAAGACCCGCGCCCGACGGACCCGGCGCCCCGCTGCCGGCTCCAAGACACTGGCGACCCGGCCCCACATCTATGTATCTTTACCATTGTAACCCGGGGGGCAGCCTATAAGACCCCCCGGTGCTCTTCCATGCAGAGGGTCGATTCCATTAGCCACACACACACACACACACACACACACACACACACTTATATCCACCACACGGAGAGGGAACATCCTATGCACTGGCCTGCCTTCCTTCCTCCCCAAAACAGCTCTAGGAGCAAGCTTGTACCATCTTCATATAAACCACACTCGGCAGGATTAGGGGTGTTATCTCTACGGAGAGACCCGAACCTGGGTACGTCTTGCGTCTCCCGCTCGCTCGTACCAACCTTGCCTCTGGAGCCCACCGGCTGCCTCTTGCCTATCCCTCTCTTTAGCCACCCCGTGGCATCTGTTGTGCGTCCACCACTACATGTAGTGCTTGGATGTACCGTTCGAGGGAACCACAAGGAGTCGTTCGAGGGATCCGGGAGATCGTTGTTCGCGGGACATCGCTGTTCGTTGGAGATCGGCCGAACGACTACACACATCACCAACTCCACTTCCGCTGCGTTGAGTGCGCATCTAGTGGTAAACCCGATCTAGTGATCTATTTCCAGTAGCATGATCATGGGTGCGGGGTAGAAAATTTATTTGGTGCTAGCATAGCGTACGGTGTGTTCCAACAAAGGCTTCTATCATCATGCTTATGTGTTGGACTATTTGGAACGAGATGAATGCAAGGGTCTTCCGACACAAATCCGCCCCTACGACAATTCTTATGGAGGAGATTAAAAAAGAAGCGAGGCTTTGGATCACCGCGAGTGCTAAGCGTGTGGGTCAACTCATGCCGGGAGGGTAGTGGCCTTTTTTTTATTCTCATTTGACGCTTTTGTGTCAATTTGTAACATTAACTCTATTTTTTCCTTAATTAATGGATGACGCAAAGCTTATGCCTCTATTTCGACAAAAAAAAAGATTGCGACTGAGCTGATACCCATACATTTTCAATTGTGTCGTCCTCCGGTCAGACCGAGTAGAGTACTACCAATAGTTCTCTTTTATCACACGATCAACAATAGCACAAATGGTCAGTGGCCAGGCTGAGCTGCGAATTGACAAGAAAGTATGCACAGAAACCGGATCATTGATCAAATTCAAGGAAGTGACTGACAAGTCAAATTTGAGAAAATAATATTTTTGTCTCAGGCGTGCGTGGTAGGAAGGATGACGAGGGTGGGGCATCCAACGGCCCATGCTGGAGTCATCGTGCCACGGGGGAGGCGACGTGGTTGGATCGGCCGACCGACACCTAGAAGTGCCCTTAAAACATTGAGCTTATAATTTTTTTCGTCGTTGCCTTCTTGAAAATTGGAGTTGCCGTGTGCCGATATACTGTATGTGCCTGATAGCTTGGCACATCTTAATGTGATATCACGCAGCTGTTGCGGCGAGAGTCTTATCTGTGATCTTTTGCGGTGAAGTTGAAGTAGCTTGCTCGAAGAGAAGTGACCACACACTTACGTGCAACGTGGCTGTGTTTCCACTAAGTAACTGGCACACCGTTCTTCTTAATTACTGAGATGGAGCAAAGTTTTGCGTCTGTTGGAAACAATTAAAAATAAACCGAAACTGAGTTGCTTATGACAATGATCGATAAAACCCCCACTCACAGAGGATAGGACCATCTCTTTATTTCATATAGGTAATCACAGCAACAACTCCATAAACCAACACGCATAATTTATATCTTCAGGGTGTCGACGAATCTCTTCCCTTGACGGAAATGTTCATAGAGCCCAGCCACGAAATCCTTGGTCATCATTTTCCTGTATCTTGGTGGTCGCTTGTCATCCAGCAAACCGGGCGCTGGCTCCAGCACTGTTTCTTCATCCACGGCATAGAACACGGCCAGCGAAAGCCTCTCCTTCTCGGTGTTCGTCACCACTCTGTGAACCGGGCTCCTAAAGATTCCGTTGTTCATTATCTGCGCCGAAATTTCACATACGAGTCAATGAAGCATTAGGATTCAGGAAATAGGATATAACACTGATCATTATATACCATTCAAGAGAGGAAGTGCGTATCTAGCTAGTATGTGTAGGTGCCTACCTCCAGGCAGTCTCCCAAGTTGATCACCAGTGTGTGAGGCTTGGCTGGAACATTGTACCATTTCCCATCTCTCTGAACTTGCAAGCCACCAACATTGTCGTCGACAAAAAGGATGGTAAGGAGATTACCATCAGAGTGAGGCCTGAGGCCCAAAACTAGGTCAGGTCTCGGACATGGAGGGTAGTAGTAGAGTCTGGCAAACCCGGAAGCCTTGTTTGATATCTGGTTGACGAAGTAATCCTCATCAATCTCCAAGAGCTTGGCTATTGATCGCAAGACAAGGTCTCTTAGTTTCTTGGTTTTTGATGCGTACTCATTTAGCACATCCCTGTAGAAAGATTCTAGAATAGTGTTGTGAAATAAAAGATTTTGGTCTCTTCATTAAGTTTCTATGAATTGTCTCTGAATATCTTTTTTTTTTCTTTTTGAAAAGAGGGTAATCACCCCAGACTCTGAATATCTTACAAAGAAAGTAATTAATCAATAAATTCACCAAACAACATCGAGAAAACTACGTCATTAATAGAAGTTCTCAAAAGTCTACATTCACAAAGGAAAGTTGTGTCAAAATTAGTTAACTTTCAGCCTTACTTAATTATAGGAAATGATATGGTAATACGGGCCCACTAGCAAGAGATGTGCAAATGCTACGAGACAATTGACTACCTACCCAGAGTGCAGTTTACACTGATAATTTTCTGAAGTTCTCACTCTGCCTTCCTTTGCAACTACTCCCTCCGTTCAGAATTACTTGTCGTAGAAATGGATGTATCTAGTTCTAGATACATTCATTTCTACGACAAGTAATTCTGAACGGAGGGAGTAGCTAATACAGTATTAGAAATGTGAAAAACATCACTCAAGGTAAGGGAGTAGGTAACCTGAAAGATTCCGGGTGACTGGGCCACTTAGCAAAATTCCTCTCATCTTCCGGCTCTACTCTCAGATGCAACCGGTCGTTCCAGTTCAGGCCCTGATCCTCGGAAACGACTTTGTCACTGCCATACCCTTCCACCTGGTAGTGCTTGCCGTTGCCGTCCACCAGGTTGTTGCATTTCTGCTTCTCTTCGGACGGTTGACGGAAAAACTCCCTTGACGCGCTGATCATTGCATCCATGAGAGAATCCTCGATCCCATGATTGGTGGCCTGGACAAGTTAAACAGTTTCACTAAGAGTTCAATAACTTCACAAGCTAGTACTCCCTTCGTTACAAATATAAGATGTTTTGGATATTTCAATATGGACTACACTCGGCCTGAAATGGATGAACAACCACACAAACATAAACATGACTATATGTATCCAATTCACAAAAAGGTTAGAACATCTTATACTTGTGAACGGAGGGAAGAGTGATTAAGGTGCACACATGCACAGATGCTCGCTCACCAGGAAGAAGCCCCAGGTCTGTAGAGCCGCCCGGAGCTTGTCAGCCTCGTCGGCGTCCATGAGCCGGCTAAGGTCAATGAGAGGGATGGGCTCCGGCATTTCGTCGGCAGCCAGCAGGTCGCCATGACGGTCTTGCTCGTGCACTAAGTACCGGCTCGGCGGCTCCTCGACGCCGGCCGAAGCCAGGTCTTGCACCATCGGCGTCTCGTCGGACGCAGCCATTCTGTTTTTTCTG